TATTTTTTTTAAATTATTGCCTTGTAAGAATTAAAAACTTAAAACTTGTATACTATTAAAATATGGATTATTAGCTAAGATTTTATGCTATTCTAATTGGTATAACATAAACAAAGTACTCAAATAAAATTTGAATGTAAGACACTAAAATCTTGTGTCTTGCACAGTAAAGGGTACCCAGGGTGATATGGTTAATAAGGTGAAACACAAGAACATGGTTGGCTACTCTGTGGTAACTTAAGTTGGGTCAAAAATCTGGTTATACAAAGTTTCCAGTTCTTTTGTGTGAATAAAACAGCTGAGCATGAAATCAGCACTGGATAAAGAAGCAATGGCCATGCAGAGTCAGCCTAATACCAGGATAAAAAAACATTGAATGTGAAGATTTGGTTCACACAAAGAAAGTCCTATAACCTCTATTTCACATAAAACTGGGCTTAATGAAGCAGTTTGTAAAGGCTTTAGACAAAGAGGGCAACTGTTTCAAGTATCTATGTCAGTAATTCTCAGCTCTTTCAGAAGCGAAACTTAAATAAAAGACTTTTGTTGGGTCTCAGATTAGGAAATTGAATTCAGATGAACAGTTTGAAAGGACAATGAGGAAAGTTGAAAAAGAAGCATGGATTGCCTTTGAAGATGTTATTGAGAAATTTAGGAAACAACCAGGACCCAAATAACAAAAATATTTTCAATAACATGATTGATAAATTCAAATAGTTGGGTTGTAATTTGAGCTTGAAAGTTCATTTCTAACACTCACATATTGACTATTTCCCTGAAAATCTTGGTTCCGTTAGCAAAGAACAAAGGGAAAGGTTTCATCAAGACATCAGGGAAATGAAGAGGAAGTATCAGGGAAGATGGAGCATCAGTATGATGGCTGATTATTGGTGATCATTGAAATGAGATGCTCCAGGCGCAATACATAATAGAAAGACCACAACATGTAGTTTTGAGACTAAAAGGTGTAGATTTCACAAAAAAAATAAAAAATCAGGATGAATGAGGATGCATATTCGTTTGACATCAATGTTCTTCCCTTTTCTTCAGTTTGTTTGTATTTTTGTTAACAAATATAATAACACAAAATATTCATTGTGGTAAATGAAATAATTTGATCAAAGTAAGAGTATTTTTTTCTTCCAGATTCATAAAAAATCCTTACATAATAGAAAAAAATTAATATTTTTGAAATCTGCATAACTGACTTATGGAAATCCATTATAAAATCAAAACAACTTTTACAAAGGTTAAATTTGCAGGCCTGTGTAACTATTTTAATTGTTTACTCAAGTAGGATGTTACTGAATAAAGACTGAATATGAAACCATACATAAGACTAGGGAGGTGACCTGTAGGATAAAGTTCTCATTATGTATCCAAGATGGAAGATATTTCAAATGATAGAACAAAGTTTAAACCCTTCAATAATTGTAAATTTTAAACAAAATTTATTGGTACCTTACCATGAGTATTCCATACATGTTGTGTAAATCACGATGCTCCCAGCTTCCGTAATGTTTGGCATCTTTATGCATGGTAACTTCTGGACCATTGAATACAGAAGGTTCATTCATATCATTCCAGGTAAAAAGCTGAAGAGTTGATCCCTTGTAGTGGTCAAGCCCAAATTTGCTGGCCCACCAATCGCGTACCTCTGGATTAACAAAGTCTAGATAGCCAGATGACCCAGGCCAACACCAGCCATCATAATCATGTCCATCTTTATTTTTGACATAGTAACCCTTACTTGTTGCTTCACTGTGGATATGGTAGCCACTGTCTCGCTTGATATGAGGATCAATAATTGTAACCATTTTACGACCTTTAGCAGTGACGTTATTAATCATTTCTTCAGGGTTTGGAAATTTATGGTTGTCCCATGTGAAATACCTAAATAGATAATTACAGAAATTTCAAAATTTTTTTCCTTTTTGTGGAGAATGTATTTATTTTAATAATAATATTAAAATAATAACTATGGATATACATCAAATTTATAGTTTAATAATGATTACCTTATGGAAAAAGCTTTTTACATTAATAATTTCAATGTAGTTTAACCTTTTTTTGTATCAAGTAGGTCAAACTGCACATGTCACAATCTTTTTCAGTTACATTCAAAATTTAAATGACTTTATTATCAATGTATACTTGGCAACAAAATGTATCTAATATCACAAATTTTAATACAAGTTTTAAGGGCTTAATTTTATAAATAAATATTAAAAAACATTCTCAGTCTCCCCTAGTATGAAAACTGACATTTGCTCTCCAGTTTAACATAATTTTCTAACTATTTTGATATGAGCCGTTAGAAATTTAGCTAAGCTCTTTAGTGTGTTTCCCGTGAGAATAAAGTGTGAACTGAAAGTGAAATAGCCAATTCTCTGTACAGAAAATTGATAGATTAAAACTTTGGCTTTCTATTGGTTTTAAATAACAGTATTGAACATCAGAGAAAATTATTTGCAATTTGTGAAAGAGAGAAAGAATGTGACTTGTGCGTGTGGCAAGAGAGTTCTGATTTTCTAGTTTATGGCTCTGTAACCAAATAAGATAGAAGGCAATAAAAATTTTGCTCTGCTTAAGTAATAACTATATTACATTGAGTAATTTACATCAAATTTCAAGAGGGAGACTTATAGGACATTGTCTGCTTTTTATGTGTTACTATTCTGTGTCCTTAGGTGCAGCATTTAATTAAATAAAAAAATCAGTCAGTGTGGTAGTACCATTGGTATAAAAGAGTATAAGTTCCATCGACAGTCAACAGGAAAGAAAAAGAACACCCATGTATTATATTTCTTCTTTTTCATGTATATTCTTTATTTATTATTATAAAAGTAACTAAAGTGTAACAATTATAAACTTGTTAGGTTAGATACGGTTAGATTAGGCACAATAAAGGATAATATTAATAAAAATTCTTCGCAAGGAATGCTCACAAGTAGCTAGTGTATTACGTAATTCCATAGAGTAACATGAGCTACATGTTTGCCGAATGATTTATAACTTGTGTGGCAGGATTATTGGTTAGACATGGTTCAAAAGCCAATAAAACAATAAACTTGAGTATAAATAGATGTATACTGTTATGAGCTTTAAGCTACTTAGGATAACCAATTTTGGTTTCTTGTTACACCATGCAGTTATTCCAGAAAGAAAAAAAAAAGGTAATTTAGAATTACTTCCTAACTTTTTTATGTTGGTTATGAGATTGGTTAAATCAACTGACCATGTATAGCTTATAGTATAGAAAATAACAGAAAAAATATATATTTAAGAGGTTTTAGGGACTCTGCAAATGAGATTTGAAAGTTTTCAGATGAAGAAAAGTATTTTTAGTATTAACATGAAAATCACTTTGCACTCAGAGCAGTTAAACTATGACACCATATAATTATGGACAAGGTTTTAGTAAAAATACTTAATTAACAACTCTGATTTTTTGTCTACAAAAGACTTAATGTATACTGAAAGTTTGCCAAATATTATGAAGACAAGGTTGTGTAAGATACAAAAGCCTATTACAAAAGGGTTAGGAGGGCAATTAAAATTTATAATTACACAAACTTGCAAATACTACTCTAAAATTAGACCATGTCTCATGAATATCTTTCTCTCTCTCTCTGTACTTTGCATTAAACTGACAGTAACAATATTATAAAATACAAAACAAACTTACTTTTTCCCATCTGTATGTTCAATATCTAACCAAATTACATCATAAGGAATGTCGTGCTCATCAAAATTAGCATCAACATTTCTGACATCTTCTTGGTCATTATAATTCCAACGACACTGGTGATAAGCAATTGAAAAGTACTACACAAAAACAAAAGACAGATTTTAGCATACAAAACATGACAAACTACTGTTAAGTCTAATTTGGAAATAAAAAAAAATTATGGAATATAACAGAAATACGATATTTTAAACAGATCATTGTTTTGTTGACACCAGACAACTTCCATTTTAGAAATAAATATTCATTTTTCTCACTCTACCACACCTAGCACTTCTGCAGATTGTATAAATGGAATGTTTAAAACTGACTAGGTTAAAGAAAAAAAAACTTGTAACAGTTATGGGAACGATATATATATACTATAAATTACAAAACATATCACTTTGAATAGCTTCCTACAGCTTACTCCTACATCTGGTCTGTGGTTATGGGGATGATATTTTTGACTGTGATGAACTCAGCAGAGCTTGAAATCTTTTCTCCAAAATTACACAATAAGTAGGGGAAATCCAAGGGAAACTAATCAACAAAATGCCTGAAACTTTCTTTAACCTCAAAAAATTGTCTCTGAAGACATGATATAAACCACCGTTTAACTTATTCAGAAAAAACAAAACAAAACTGTTATGGGATACAACAAAAATATAGTATTTCAAACAGACCATTATAGTTCTAACTGCACTGTGGTAAGCAATGGAAAAGTACTATACAAAACCTGACTAGGTGACTTAATTCAAAAGTATTAAATTGGGTCCACCATTAACCATTTCAGTACCTGCCTGATGGTTCAGCTTCCCAAGTAATGTTTTTGCAATAAAAGATATTAAAAAAAAGATAAATAACATTAAAAACATTACAAAGCTTCATAACTCAAAATATTAAGAAAAGAAATAAAAACAACAACAAATGCTATTCATAAATGTGTGTACATTATTTCAAGTAACTGGCCTAAAGAATATTTAAAAATTATATGTAATTATTACTTTTGGATTACATTACCTATCTTAATTACATATCCAGCAAAAATATTTAAGCAGGAATGGGATAAATACTGAAATCATGTGTACACAATTTACTTTGCAAGCCTAATGTATGAACATCTTATGATAATTTTTTCTGAATAACTCATAACTTCAAAAATATAATCTTACTGGAGGCAATGGTGTGGTTCCTGATAAAATAGCATTCTGTTTCATCACATCTTTTGGACCTGGTCCTGGGAGAAAGAAGACATCGATGATTCCACTTTCGGAGAACCAGTGAGTATCAGTCTGTGGCAACTGAGTACTGCCCTTCACAAAGTCAACAATAGATGAAACAACACTCTGTAATGACAGAAATATGCACAACAAACTCCCTTTTGGTAACTCCCTTTTGCTTTTAATTAATAAAATGAAAACAGAATTAATCTTGATTAAATTAGAGGATCAATTAAACTTTTATTTACTGAAAAAAAATACTCAACTTTTACCATAAGATAATTCTTACGACATTATTCATTTGTTTCCTAGAATTAAAAAAGAATTTTATATCTGGGGACAATAACTTAAAGAGCGATAATTAAACTATACCTGTTGAGTAGCAGGTTCTATGTCAATCCATGTTTCAGCTGCATTTAGCCAGAGAAGTCCTACTGTTTTTATATCACTAGAACCAGAGGAAATATGTTTTAACAATAAATACATATATACAGCCACAGATAAATGTATGAATCCAAGACAAAAATAAACTCATAGAAGTTCCTGGTCATGAGATTAGTACAGCCCTACTAAAAGAAAACTCTTAGTCATGAGATTAGGGCAACTGTAAAGTTCTGCATCTAAGATAAAAACAAAAATTCTCATGAGATCAGTACTGAAAATCTACTTATTACAGAAATTTTCTAATAATAATATAAACATAATAATAATATACTTAACGAGATTTACCAGTTATATTTTAAAGAAAATAATACTACAGAAAGTAGAACAATCTGGAAAAACAACAAATATGTACATAGATAGGTATACACATATGCAACTTCATAATTCAAAATATGTAACTTCTTCTAACTCCTTTTAAGCTTATTCATGGTGGTTAGTGTTTTTCCTCAATAGAACTTTATTGGTGAAATATTGAAAATAAAAACATCTATACATCACACATTACTACTTAGCATTTATAATATATATAATTCTACAAGTAGATATCCTACGAATAATTTTTTCTCAAAAACACACAAAAAAAGCATAGTTTTCCAACAATTTAACTTCAGAGAAAGAAAATACAAAAATATTAAGTAAATTACTGTGGGTCAAAACTGAATGTACCTGTGAGCAACCATGAAGGGTACTGATCCATAAAGAGCCATAGGGTTATTAACTTCAAACTGAAATACATCCAGGTTATAAAGTCGATATGGGTCTGTGGATCCTCTGAAGATGCAAGGAAAATAGTATTATCATTAGAAAAACAAAACAAAAAAACTACTAATTTTAATACTAATTACCATTAAAATGGATAATCCTTTTACATTACCCACATTGATAAAAATAAAATAGATTAAAAACAGCTCCACACCTACAAGCCTTGATTATTATACTACTTGATAGAAAATATTCTGTGAATGTCATTTCTTTAAAAATGGAAAACAAAGATCGTGTACCAACAATACAATCTAGTAAACACTTAATTCTAACTTCTAATTTTATAAAAAGGATAGTTATATACAAGAATCATTTATTAACAGCACTATATATATCTGTCACAATCATTTTCATTTTATCAGATATGTTATGTTTATGATTTCTGGAAATTTTCGTTGAAAATATGTTTTGAATAGACAAAATGTTAAAATAAAGTACATCATTCTCCTACTGAAAATTTTTTACAATCTAAAAAAACTTTAAAATGAATCTTCAGTTTAACAGTCTTTGTTTTTTACATGGCTTCGGTGTAGAAAATAAACTTTAGTAAGATATTAACAGAGATGTTACCAGTGATAGCTGTGCTATAGAAAAACTAAAATCATAATTTTAACAGCATGAAATTTATGCTGTAAAACCACATTTTATCTTTTTATTAAGTGTTTCAAAATTCTACAAGTTTCTTTCAACAAGAGGCAAGTTCCTGCAGAGTTTTTCTAAGGTGAGGTTATATGAAATTTCTGACTTTCCATCATATTTATGTATTGAAAGAAGCCTACAATTAAATACATTGAAGGATCCAAGAAATCTGCCACGACAGCCCTGGCCATATTCTTCAGTGCTTTCATATTAATCATTTATTTATTAATTAACAGATTCTTTAGTATTTTGATATCAGCTGTATCAGACACAGCAACTTTTATTGTAAACAACATGTAATTCCTGGAAAGTTTAAATGACAGCTAAATGCATTTTATACATCCATTCCTTACAGTGACTATTACCGAATAGATAACAATGATAATATTCTTTCTAAATGATAACTTACTTTGTTTGTTTTAAAGAGAATGCATCAGCATGTTCAGGAATTCCATACACATGTTTGAATCCAACAAAAGAAAAGTCCATTCCCACTGAAGAAGGACCTGCAACATTATTAAAGTATAATAAAATACAGTTTCACAACCAATACTATAAAAGTGTACTTCACTATAATAATAATAATAAAACTGTTTTTCTAAATTTTAATAATTTGAACATTTTTGTATACATCACTCAACTATTAAAATTGTTTGAAAAATATTTTCATGATACAGTTATTACTGCTGTGCAAAAAAAACTGGATATCTCACAATGATAACTTAACAATAGGTAATTCATGCAATTCCTAATGATAGGCTTACAGTTTTATTAATGAAGTTGATAATATGTAACAAGTTGGATATCCATATTGCAACTGTGTGCAAATCTAATATAAATCAGATGTTGACAAAATAATATTTGATTTTAGTATTATTTCCATGGTTTCACAATGAGGTAATAAATATGGAACAAGTTTCAAGATTACAGCAAAATCTGTAACTAACTTTCACTGAAAGGCAGCAATATGACTGAAGGTCTGCACTATTACCTTATTTTCCGAGTCCATTATGTTAAACCTTGTAACTTCTTGATCATCAAGTTACTGAATTCTTTTTATACTACTGACAGAGTCAATATATCACATCATATTGTGTAATATATATTTTTGCCTTTTATAACATAGAATGTAAAGAAACAATCAAAAATATTGTGCAAAATCACTCATTTTCTAGGTAAAGTACTCACTGCAATATTGATAGTATTGCTATTTACATTTTTGTTTGCGATTCTGTAATCAATTTGGTGCATAAATCAGGATCAAGCCAGATTGCAAAAACAAAAGTCACTTCTCCTCAGTGTCATAGAGAATTTTTTGAAATAGGAAGACTTCATATTTTTGTATCAAAGTAAATGTTGTTAACTTAGGGGTTAATTATTTCAGTTACGTGTACATGTGCATACACATACATAAGCAATTTAAAGCATTAAGTAATGATGATAGAAATTTTGTAACTTAAAAGTTTTTCCCCCCTTCAGGATTTAAGAACATTTTATTTTATATTTCATTTTTTTGCAATTTCAATCTATAATGTCTTCATTCAAAATAATATAAAACCATTTTCTAAGTTCACTGCGTTTTTATTTTCTATTTGTTTATCTTACATTTTAAATATTGGTCAAGATCTGTAATGTTAACAGGACTTTTGTGCCTTTGTGCATACACATTGCTTTTTCCTGCATCTTTACAAATTGAGCAGTGTCAAAATCTCTCAATATCTTGCACTGCACATACCAACTGAATTCGTTCTGACTCAAAATTCTGGGAAATGTTTTTGGCTTTTTGTTCTCCAATTTTTTCCCCATTGGCCTTTCATATCTGGCCAGAACTTGACTCGGGTTTTTCTGAAGGTTTTAGACCTAACCAATTTGCTAAACATTTTGAGTAAATGAAGAATACCATTATGGATAGCAACATATAGGTTTGATTGCTTAAAATGCAATTATATCTGTAAATTAATGAGTAGAGACAATTTAAAATGATACTACTTTCTGGTACATACCTTGTATAATTAACAGTTACTTCGCATGACAAACAATTCAATAAAAAAATACAGCAATGGATCTGCTGAAAAAAACAACTTTCCCAATCATCGATACCCTTCCATAATCCACTGACATTAATTAATCCAATTATGTCTATCAACACAATATACAGTCAACCTTTTTTTCTATGTTTTAACACAAATTTTAATAACAATGGATGTATTTAACTGGTATTGACATAATCTTGGTGAGGAACTCTGATCGAGCATGCTGATTAGCTCATGCTGAGAGTTTAGAAACCAAGTATGATGATACTGCTTGTCACTTTTAACATGGTAGGTGACCGACTGAGCTGAAAATAAAGGTGATTCAAATTTTATTGTGTGTGAGTGGATAAAACATGAATTCAGAATTGTGAAAGTTACGTTTAAAAGTACTTCACCTGGTCATGTGACACCTGAAACAGTTTACAAAGCAAATTGAATTCATATGGATCCCAATGGTAAATCTACTGTTGAAGAATCCATGTAAAGTAATTTAGATTGCAGCTAAAAATGTCCTTACAAACTTAAAGCTCAGGCATATAATTATAAAACCCCTACCAAATGGCTTGGAGTCTGCATGACTTTTAAAGTGTTCTTCCCATGCTCCATCCATGTCTTCTACTTCGGCAGCAGGCTTTTCTTCTTCCACCTGAAGAGGACAAACACTATCTGATTAGAATATTAGCCTTTTCTCTTATTTCAAGTATACACTATGTTATGTAATTATTTTACTTGAAACACTAGACATTTAATCCAAATTAATATATTTACATATTCAAATAAATGATTGAGTTCAACATTTCATCTCTTTCTTTTTGCTTGAAGGAACCAGACTAGTGAAAGCCACAGCAATTAAAACAGACTCTGAAAAACCTGATCAATGAAAATTGTATTATATAATCAGATTTTTATAAATTTTAGTAGTTATAACAAAGAACATATTTTTACCATATATATAATTCATATATTTTATAACATACCTTAAAATTCAGCTCTTTTGAATTTTTAATCACAAAAGTTAATCATTATGTCTAGGAATAAAGTTAACACTCTCATTTCTGGTAAGATTACCAAAATGTTATAAAAACTGAAGCATAGAATGTTGATTACACAAAATTCTAAAAATTATTTGAGCATATCAACCTGGTTTGCAGGACCTTCTTGTTCTTGATTCTCTGGTTTTCTAAGAAAAGAAAAGTATCAATGTGATTTTAAAACAGAAGTAACATTATAAATATTATAAAGTAATTTAATTTTTATTCTAGTTTTATACAGCTCATGAATATCAACTCAGTTTGTCATGTTTTCCAAGAATTATACAGTGTTAACATATAATAAACTATTTGAGTGAAACATAACAGGCCTCCATCTTTAGCCACAAAGAAATATACAAAAATGAATCATTTAAATTTAAAAAAAACAAAAGTTAAATTATTTATGATTCTGGTTTTATCTTGGTCATTAGTTTAATCACATTTAAAAACTTACAGAGACTGATGTAGAGATCAAAAAGAAAAAAAAAAAGAATAAAACTTTAATGGAAATAATGTAAGTATTTATAACACTTTGTTTAAAAAAACATCTCACAGCAACCTGAGGTACCCATCCTTTGTACAGGTTATGAGCTTAAAAAATATGGGGATGAATGCTATGACAAATAACACAAAAATCCTAACTTTCACACAATTTATTTATAACATCACATATTATTACAGTATTCATTAATACCTCACCCAAAGTTTGTATAAGCTTTAAAAGCACACTATGTATATACTTAAAATATGGTATACACTGTGAAATGGTCAGAATGACTTTGTACGAAGAGGTAACAGCCAAAGTAGTGATGCTTTCTGTTACTCAGCTCCTTATGTCCTTCCACATTGTTTCACATTAATTAATTAATTGATGGTCATTGCCACAGAAGTGTCTTAAAGGATGAAGCTGTAAGGTTATGAGTCAAAGTAGGAAGTGGGTATAACTCAAGAAAAAGCTCTCCATATCAGCATTATGGTGGCTGTTGTAGTATCAACTTCATCTGAGTTTATGTATTACTGCAATAGTGATGACCATTTTTTTTCATTACATTTTTTTATAGAGTGCTAGTGCATTAACTCATAGACATACAAGATGTTTGTCTGTCCTCCACCATACTGTATGTACGTTGTTTGTTTGTAATTAAGCACAAAGCTACACAATGGGCTATCTGTGCTCTGCCCACCACGGGTATCGAAACCCGGATTCTAGCATTGTAACTCCACAGACATACCGCTGTGCCACTGGGGGGCATGTGTATGTTGTTTTACAGAAAATGTAATTATTTTTTTTTGTTTGGTGTAAGATGGCACCAACTATTAATGTAGTTAACATATATGAAATTTTGACTTTTCAAAGCTGCTAATTCCTATAAATATCATATATAAAAAAAGATATTTTATTTTGCAGAAGCAACATAAACTCAGGAAAGTTTATCAAATTCAAAAAATTTAATCAGTCAGTGCACCTAGGCATTTGAGCGTCGATCATTATTTTTAGTGTGTGTGTGTGTGTGTGTGTGTGTGAGTGCATGTGTGTGTGTGACAGTTTATTGTAGTAATTGTTTTGAGGTACAAGTATATTTTTTTCAATCTATAAAAAATAGATTATAAAAATTCTAAAAGTGTTGGAATAACAATACAGTATACAGAAACACACACACACACAATAAAAATGATAACATTTGTTACACAAAACAAATAATTTCTGTCACAACTGTACATGTTTCTGTGGATATTATCTTCATGGACGAACAATTTGATGTAAAAATCTAAGAAATTCTGTTTAAAACATTTTACTTAGGCTTAACAGTAACAAGCAAGTTTGAAAGCTGGTACTAAGTTTCTTAGTCCTACTCCTTATTTACAATGCACTAAACAAACTGTCTGATGTAGCAATATTAAGAACATTTTTCAAGAGGTCTTATAATATACATTAGGAAAACGGATGTCTGTCTCTTGGGATTGGACTTACCTCAACCAATATTTTCTCATGGTTAGCTCTATCTAGGGTGCAGCTATTTAATTGGTTAATAATTTATGTCCTTGAAGATGCAAGTATTGAAAATGTTGTTTACAAGAGATTTTTGTAAACAATTTTTCCAATATGAATCCAACAGTCCTTAGTTTTAGACCATGGCTTGAAAAACCACAATTATACATACTAGCGGAAATGCCACCCTACAGACAGCTGTTTGTACTAGTAATTACTAATCATAGTATTCAATCCTCATTGAAAAAAATTTAGAAAAAGTGATAATTTCTAAAAAATGATATTTCTGAAAAGTATTGCATGGGAAAAGTGTTTGGATTGTGCTGATATAAAATGTAATGTTTTTATATATATTAAAAGTGGTACCCTTTATTGAAAAAATAAGTTTTTTGTAAGAACGCCATTTTTTTAGTATTATATTTTGCAAATTACACCAATAAAAATATAATGAAACCCTCATGTACAGTACTAGTGAAAGTTGTGTTCTTGTTGTGAGGAGAGTACTTTTACTTAAAATTGTGTTCTGTGATAAAGAAATGGTTGTTGCATATACCACAATTATTTTTCTAATTATCTGAATTTTGAATACCCAAAGTGTGAAATTTTTTTATGAATTATTTGTTTATTAGTAACACAAATTCAATTCAAAAAGTACAGGACATG